AAAAGCCAAATCTATGTAAATAACTTGAATCAAATAAGGTTGTAGACTAATATTTGCTTTGCCCTTTATCATAAATGGCAAATGGTCAATTCGCTAAACTGTTGGACGACAACAAGTTTARGGGCCCAAATTATGCTGACTGGTATCGTAACCTCATGCTGGTCCTAACGTCCAAGAAATTGGACAAGGTAGCTAAGAACCCTGCTCCGGAACGTCTGGGTGATAGGGATTCTGAGGCCCGCAGGAGGGACTATCAAGAATGGTCCTAAACAATCATCGTCAAGAAGTTGTTCTTGATGAGGAGAGCTCAAGGGTAGTGAGAGATGTCCCACAAGCTCTAGTTAATAACCAACCTAGGAGATCTACCCGGGATTCTAGGCCTCCAGTTCGTTGTGGCTATGACCAAGAAAGTTACTTGGTGGAAGTCACGACCAGTGAGGAGGACCCTGTGACTTATACGAAAGCTATGTTGGACATAGATTCCTTGAAGTGGGTAGGTGCCATGAGAACAGAGATAGACTCAATGAAGACCAATGGAGTCTGGACTTTGGTAGATCCGCCCCTTAGGGTTAAGGCAATTGGTTGCAAATGGATCTATAAGAGGAAGAAGAGCCTCGATGGTAAGGTTAAGACATACAAGGCTCATCTTGTGGCGAAAGGGTACACTCAGAAAGAAGGAATTCATTATGAGGAAACCTTTTCGCCCATGGTCATGCTTAAATGAATTAGGATCCTGCTAATTGTAACAGCATACCATGATTACGAGATTTGGCAAATGGATGTCAAAACTACGTTCTTGAATGGAGATCTTACTGAAGATATCTATATGCAGTAACCGCAAGGTTTCATAGCTGCAGGTCAGGAACACATGGTATGTAAACTCAATCGATCCATATATGAACTTAAGCAAACTTCTAGGAGTTGGAACATCCGGTTTGACTCTACCGTCAAACAGTTTGATTTTGAGCAAAATCCGGATGAGCCTTGTGTTTACAAGAAAACCAGTGGGGATAAGGTTACGTTCTTGGTTCTATATGTAGATAACATTCTACTCATTGGGAATGATGTAGGAATGTTAACTACGGTGAAAGTATGGCTTTCACAACAATTCTCCATGAAAGATCTTGGAGAAGCCTCCTACATTTTGGGTCTTCGACTCTATAAAGATAGATCGAAGAGGATAATAGGATTATCCCAGTCTGCCTACATTGACAAAAAAGTCAAGAGATACAACATGGAGAACTCCAAGAAAGGAAATGTTTCTTTCAAGCATAGAGTCACTCTCTCCAAGGGTATGTCTCCCAAGACTCCCGAAGAGATTGAGGGCATGAAAGAGTTTCCTTATGCCTCAGCCATAGGAAGCATCATGTATGCCATGCTGTGCACTCGTCCTGACATTTCTCAAGCAGTGAGTGTGGTAAGTAGATATCAATCTAACCCAGGGTAGGAGCATTGAACCGCTATGAAAAAAACATACTAAAATACCTTTGAAGGACAAAAGAGTTTTGTCTGGTATTCGATGGTAGTTCACTATAGATCCAGGGGTATACTGTTGCCAATTTCCAATCAGATCTAGATGATAGAAAGTCTACATCTGGTTATATCTTCACAATAGGATCGTGTGTTGTTTACTGGAAAATAGAAAATAGGGGTCTACGACGGATTCCACAACCAAAGCCGAATACATTGTCGCAAGCGAAGCTGCCAAAGAAGTCGTATGAATGAAGAAGTTCATTCAGGAATTAGGAGTAGTTCCATACAGCACATCACCCATTCCATTGTTGTGTGACAACACTGAAGCCATTGCAGGCTAAGGAGCCACGAGCCCACTCGAAGTCGAAGCACATCAAGAGGAAGTACCATGTACTACGGGAGATAGTTGAAAGAGAGGACATCCTAATTCAGAAGGTAGCATTAGTGGAAAGTGTAGAAGACCTACTGATTAAGCCACTGACACAGAAAGTGTTATAGAAACACGTGGAAAGCATGGAACTCCGGCTTATACCCAATTGGACCTAAGTGCAAGTGAGAGTTCTTAGACGGTGTATGCCCTTAGCTCCAATCAGAATGATGTACATTATGACATTTAATGTAAATGAATAAAGTACATATTTGATTCATGTTATTATGGTGTGTTTCTATGTAATACCCTTAAACTGGACACATATGAGACTCGTGTTAGTTTAGAATCTTTACACCTGTTGGATAGAATCTTCACACTCGTGTTAGTTTAAAATCTTCACACCCGTTATATGAGACTGATATAGATCAGCTTTTCCTTTGATTTTTGCAAGAAAAATTCAGGGGATATTAGGTTCACCATCCTCATTTCGATTCAAGCATTTGGATCTTAATTTTGTAGAAAATTGTGTTGCTGAATCGGTTTCAGGAATACACTGCACCATCTCCAATGAAGGCTGGTTTTATGACTGACTTGGGTGTGAACTTTCACCTTGGGATCTGAGTTTGTGGTATTTGTATCAAATACATCTCCCTCTTTGTTTGGTTTCAAATCTGGTCCGGTTTAGTGTAAGACCGATCCTGAAAAATGCAGTTTTTCAAAACATAGGGAATTCAATTCCTAAAAAAGTTAGAAAATTTTTTAAATTTCACCCAGCCATCTAACATGGTTTGGCCATCCATATGATGGATCCTAACCCTTCCAACATGCATGTGATAATTTTGGCAAAGTCAATATAGCTAGCTTTCTTATAAAGTTAAGATCTCTTGCCAACTAAACACTTTCCATCCAACAAATTCAGATCTCCTACCCATACCTACCCACATGATACTATAGTTGCATATTGAGAATATCCCATGTGTTTGTATTTGTATGTTACCATTCATGGAGAGATGTTCCCAAGGCTGTGTTTGGTTGCAATACAAATAAATTTGCATTAATATGAAACTATGGCAGTGCAAATGATTTCATTGTAAATTCTGACCTATTCTTGTTTCAAATTTTATCTTATTTTGTTTGATTGCATTACAAATTAAGTGAATTAAGACATGAAGCAGAATAAAGTAAAATCCAAAACAAAATTAAACAAAAATTTGCATTTTTTTATTTGCACTGCAACCAAACACAGCCCAATGTACGTTAGTAGTATCCTGAGGGTAGGATTCTTGTGAATAGGAGATCTGGATTGTTTTCAAGCACCCAACCAACATAATCTGATACCGCATATCTTATACGTGATAGGTCCAACTTTTATAGTAGGTCCCAATCTCATGGCGAGATGTGCAATGTCAGATAATGTTAGGATGCATTTTGTTGGCGGAAGATCCCAACTCCCTAAAGCTGTTTGGGAGAGTTTAAGTTTCGGTTGAATTGTTTTCATTGAGCTGATTTAAGGAAGCCATTAAAAGAAGCTTAATGGGAAAGTATTTTTTTTTCCCTTTTTGGACCAAACGACAGTTAATTGGTGCTTTGGGTTTTTTCACAGAGCCAAAGCTGCAGTGTAAAGGCTCACCCAAACGGGGACTAATTTAAAGCCTTTGGATTAAGTTATTGAAGCGCAAGGTGGTGTTCAGACACCATGTCCACTTTCCATTTCGTTTGGTTCTGAAATGTGCCACGGCAAACACGTGTTCTTTTAAGCCATGGCATGTTCCGGAACTGGCTGAATACTGCAAAATTTAAAATATACCAAAATCTCGTATTTCATTACACACCACACTTTAGGGTATTTCGACATTAATTTGGTATATTTTGACAAAAATATTTACATTTTAAATCGCAAAATACTTCTAAACACACACCACCACCACATTATTGAGCATTATGAAAGGTGTGGTAAAACACATGCCACTTTTTGTGGGGCCTAGTAACCTAAAACACATGCGACTTTTTGTGGTAGAATACCTCCTAAATGTTTCAATGAAGAGGCATTTGTAAATGGTCATAATTCATTTAGAAACTCAAACTTATTGTTTAGAAGGATTTAGGCTATGTTGCACTTATTTTAACAATTACTTAAGATTGTTTGATGATCTATTTGTCAAATCATTTATTGTGCTTTTTAAGCATTTATTAGGGTGAAAATGTTTAATGAATTACTATCACCACAAGTGTTTATTTTATCATAAATGACAATTTTAATTCTCATTTCACCCATACATATAAACAATACTTTTCACACAAGATAATAATAAGAATGCAAAATATAATAATAAGAATAATGATCATAACAACAACAACAACAATAATAATAATAAATTTTGGTTTAACAAAAAAATTTAAAACACATCACAAAAAATGCAAAGAGAAACTTACAAAAAAAATAGGATAATAATTTTAATTCATATTAGTAATAGATTAACAAATGAAATTTTGGTTTAATAAAAAATATGTAAAACACGTCAAAAAAATGCAAAGACAAATTTAAAAGAAAGTAGTATAATAATTTTAATTCATACTAATAATAAGAATATTCAATGAAGTTTCAGTTTAATAAAAAATTGTAAAATAAGCCAAAAAATGCAATGACAAATTTAAAATAAAACATGATAATAATTTTTATTCATATTAATAATAAAAAATTAAATGAAATTCCAGTTTAACAAAAAATGTAAAACAATTGCAAAGAGAAATTAAAAAAAAGGATAACAATTTTCTCCATGTTAATAATAAAAAATAAATGAAATTTTGGTTAATAAAAAAACAGGTAAAACACATCACAAAATTGCAAGAAATTTAAAAACAAGTAGGTTAATAATTTTTATTCATATTAATAATAAAAATAAAGAATAAAAAAATGAAGCAAAATAAATTCATATAAACGAAGCAACCACAAGATAAGGATTTAAAAAATGGAAGCAAAATAAATTGACATATTAACCAATTATTTACAATAAAATTCCTGAAAAAAATGAAGTAAATTTTGGAATATGCAAGAACATAACAAAATAAATTCACATATTCACCAATTTTTCACATTAAAATTCCAGAAAAAAATAAAGCAAAATTCGGAATATGCAAGAACATAACAAAATAAATTCACATACTCACCAATTATTCACATTAAAATTCCTGAAAAAAATGAAGCAAAATTTGGAATATGTAAGAACATAACAAAATAAATTCAAATAATTACATAATATTCAACAATAATGAGAAAAAAATCATAGTTGTTCATAACATGTATCATTTTTCAATTCATATTACTGAAAAATAAAAAAAAACATCAATTTTCACTAACATATACAAGAAAGAAGATAAAAAACTCAAAACGACCAAAGTGGTAGGTGGAGGGAGCCTTACCTATCGTTGCCGGCACGTTTCAGGTAAGGTTTCCGTTGAAGATTTTAAATCTGAGACAATACACACAAGAAACATCCCAAAACGCAAAAAATGTCAAAAAAAAAAAAAAACAAGCTGGGAATGAAGATGATTGACTAGAACTGAAAAACGAAGCGCCCACCAATCGATGTTTTGTATTCAAAGTTGTCGCTGGCCGCCCTTTGAGATCTTGCCGCCGCTGCAGTGTTCGAACTGGGTGAACGGAGAAGACAAGGGTTTTCTCCATTCACGGGGGTAATTTGGTCGTTATGAAATTTTTAAGGGACTGAATACTCCTAGATTTTTTGAATAAGCAATTGTTGAACAAGTGCTTAAAGAAAAGCCACTTTCAACATGATTATTTGTTAAATGCTTTTGCACTTGTACCTAACTTATTTACCAAACAGTTATAAGTGTTTTTTTTCACCTCATGTGTGATTCCAACACTCCTTTTAAATACTTATAAAAATAATTATTTCTTATTAGTCAAATCAAACTATTACCTTAATTAGAAAAATTTCAGCCCAACACTTCTTGCCCAAGTAGGACAACCTTACCTGCCCTCCCAACAAAGACTCTGTCCCTTCGATAGGGTTACTTTCAAGTTAGGGGCTTTGATGTGGACAGTTCGATGAACATAACCCACTTAGACTGGGTTTGGTTTGAAGGTAAAAGGAGGCAAATTGAAAGGTAGGAAACCTTTACAATTCCCTTCAACGAGTACATGGCAAAATACCAACTTGCATTTCCCTTTGGAATTAATTCCCACCCTAGACTCAATCATTGTACATTGTTGGATTGGAATCTTTTACACCCTAAAACAAGGGGAGCTCACAGTAGCACCATCCGACCACAGACTCAGTCCTTATATGAACCCTCTTGGATGCCAATCCAAGGGGTTGACAATTAAGACGTGGAAAATGGACACTGTACATTAATTAACAACATAGAATGGCTGCTGATAAGATGGGAAGTCTGAATCTACCAAGTTATTCCAATGTAAACAGGAAAAGGAACACTGAAGTCGCACATCAACAGTCAAATTTCAACAGAAAAGATTCCAACCCAATTGTGGTCCGTGGACCCAATCATCCAATCGACATCTATCGTTGGTTTTGTGAGGCCGCAGTTGCCAGTTGCCAAACGCATATGGCTATTTTTTAATTCAAGTGGTCAAATTTGCACGTGCAAAAATATGAACATGGATCACGTGCCAATGGAACAAATTAATATTGAAAGCACCCAACCCAAAAGCAGGTATTTGAGTATTTGGGTGGGCCACTCCTCAGTCCTAACTCGGCCAGTCCTCATCAAAGCAAATTGAAACCTCAGAAAGTCTAAAACGGCCAAACCGGGTCATTTCATTATCTTAAACTGTGTTTGGTTTAAAAGAAAAGATAAGGAAAGGAAGGGATTAACAAAATACCTTTTCTTATCTTTTTCTTTTCAAACCAAACACAACCTTAATAATTCTCTACCTAGAAAGCAAAGCTGTTTTTCAAAATTCGTTTCTCATGATCAAACCCTTTTCTCGATTCTTTTGTAGGGATGGCAATTTTCTCCATCGCTCTGTCCTATTTTCAATATAAAATTCTTTTATAGAAACAATATAATTAAAAGTTTTTAGACATTTGAATCTCTGTAAGAAATCCATCTCCATTGAAGACCGGGGATGGAGGATAACGTTTTATCTCTGGCAAGGATGGAGAGTATGATCCCCGCCATAAACCCACCCCATTAACATTCCAATTCTTTTGTAATTTTGCTTAAAAAAAACAACCGCAAATAAAAACTTTCGGTTAGAAAAACGTTCAAAGCAAAATCTGAGTAGAATTAATGGATTCGGTTGTAATTTTCATGAAAAAAAAATCTCTTCTTTCCTTAGATTAAAAGAAAACAACCAATTATATAACATTTTAATAATATTTATCGAATTACAATCCAATTTATACATCAAGCTTCAATATTTACAGATTTTAACAAAACCATGTCCAAACCAAGCATACATAATTAAAATGTGTGGTATTTATAATAATATTGTAAATATACTGGTTTTTTTTGTTAATAGTATATTTTTCCTAATTTAACCAGAATCAAACAAAAACCCCAATCTTTGAAAAAAAAAACGAATTAAAACTGAACCGATATTGACTCAATTGCCTTAAAGAGTTGTTTGGAATCATTGCAGTTTTTCAAAAACGGTACCATATTAGTATTTGTTTGGCATTGATCCGGTGCTGCTGATGTGTGGTTGAAAGCACCATTTTCTGTTTAGAATCATCAGGTAGGATGTTTCCTAGAGCAACAACTTTTTCTGTTTGGTACCATAGCTCTAGGAAACGTTTTTAGCATTGGTACTTATTATCCAGTGCCACATCAGTGCCACATCATTGCCCTGTTGGCAGCAACGAACTATAGCTCCAAGAAATACCAAATTTGACATTGCTCCAAGCCATGACTTCCTGATTTCCGAGGCGTGGCTTGGAGCATTGTTTTTTATGGCTGTTTCTTGAAACACCGTTTTTACCGATGTGGTACTGATATGACGCCATTGCTCCAGAAAATGACAACGATGCCAAACAGCCCCTTAGTGTCACATAAACATTTTGACCTCAAAGGTTGAAACTCTTGTTTGGTTAGGTATTTTTTGAAAAAAAAAACGCTGGGAAAACGTCTTGCTTGGGAAATAATTTTTTATGTTTTTTTCATGCAATACACCATTGTTAATAACAGTTGAGGAGATGGGGCCAATATGGCAGCTTTTTTTTTTTCCTTTTTGAAAAATGGTGGTAAAAAATGTCTTACCAAACAAGAAATGCCATTTAGTGTTGCTGCATGCATCTGCTTTAGGTAAAGAAACGTCACCGTTTCGGAGAAAATGGTCTACCATTTCATGGACGTTTTCCAAAACATTACCTTAATTTTTTGGTTTGGAAGATGGGTTTCTAATTTAGGCCCAATTTGGATAGATACGAAAGTACAAAAAATATTATATCATATTTGGATGGCATATTTCCTATTTTGACTTTCATACCTTTTAAAAGCATGAAACCCTTCAAAAGCACAAAGTTGACTTTTATTATTTTGTGCTTTTTGGGGAAGTTTTGCTTCAATTTCAGGTAAAACTCCTTGATTGAGACTCCTCCATTCGCCTGTTGTCTTCAAGCCTTAACCTCTTTGCCACCGCAGGTTCTTGCTCTGCCACCACCCATTTCCGACTATCATTGCCTCCGGAAATTGCCGATGGAAGCACAATCCTTATCAAAATTGTAGGTATGGATCCCTATTTCATATTTCCCCATTTCTTTTAATGTTTTTCTCCATTTCATGTAATATCTTCAAGTTATCTTCAAGCTTAATAGTATGTTTATTGCATGTTTACCACCATCGGAATCTCTATTGTCAACTTCTTCGTTTGCTAAACTATTCTTGAAGCTTAATGGAATGTTTTTATCACTTATTTACTATAATGTTATATATAGCATTGTACCGGTACAAAACCACTTCATTTTCTAAACCAAGTGCCAATTCTAAGTGGTTGGCACGTGCATGTACACATGGCATGTGTATGTTCAGTGTATAGTTGTATGCAAGTGGCTAGTCATGAAAAATGGGGCCTTTATCACATATAAGATCAGATGAATCACATAACTGACAGTGTACTTTTGTCAAACAGAAAATGGTACTTGTGTTTTAGAAAGCATGATTTTCAAATTTTTTTACCCAAACACCTTTCAAAACAAAAATACCAAAGTAAAAGTTGTATTTATGTTTTGTAATTTCATACTATTAAAAGTATAAAAGTATAAATCTGCCCAAACATAGCCTTAATTTTCAATTTTTCAGATTTTCAAAAACAAAGACGATATGATGACCCCTTCCCCACAGTGGGTCATGTTTCCCACGTCTAAAGCATGAGGACCCACCAGCAACCACCCTCCAATGGGTTCCATCATAGAGATAATTTGAAACAATGATCCTGCTCATTTCTTTTTCTCTTTAAATTTGGTCTCTCTCTTTAAGTGGGTCATGCTCCTCTGACTGGACAGACATAAGACATGGTTCGTTCACAGGAGTCCAAACTCAACGCCTCAAGTAAAACCTGATTCCTATGAGTCCTCTGTAGGTCTTGTGGGCTTGTGGGCCCAGGTCCAACAGATTCCAGTGGGTTAGTATGAGCCCCCATTTTGGTTATCAATTTCATCTCCCCATTCTCTTGTCATGAATATCCATTAATTCGGCCAGGAATAAACCGAGAAATTTATTAAAAGACCACGGGCACAGCTGCCACATAGTAGGAAGGAGAGAAACTGACCAACGACAACCAGATGCCGACTTATTCAACCATTTGAAAATAAAATAATTAAACAAAAAAGAAAAAAAGAATCACCAACGTGGGTAATGTGGGGAACGTGTTAATTACTTGTCCGATCACCTTTTTTTGCCTACCGGTCTTCTTTTTCTTCTTCTGTCGTCTGTCGTGTTGCGTTTCTTGTTGGCGTAATACATGTGTGTTATATGGGCGCAAAACAACTCATAACAACCTTTATAAATCAAACTCAATCTCCCTTTCTCTCTTACACCTATCACTTTTCATTTCTCTTTCTTTTCTCTTCTGCTCTGAGGATTTTCTGCAACGATCGGATCGAAAATGGCAAAATCAACTCTTCCTTTGGCGATGAGGAGGAGCTGCAACTTGGACCTCTGCCTCTTTCCCATCGGTTCTCTTCCCTCAAACGACTCCGGCAGCGGTTCCTCCTCGTAAGTTCACCTCCAAACCACCCTCCTCCTCCTTTCTCCTCTTCCATTGAGAATTAACTAACATTTCTTTTGTTTTCTTTAATTACTGAAGATCTGGGGAACCAATCAAAACCCCAGAACAGCAACAGCAACAACAAGCACAACAGCAGCAGCAACAACAACAACTAACAATCTTCTACAATGGACGCGTCTGTGTTTGTGATGTGACTGAGTTTCAGGCAAGCTCTCTACTCTTTCTCTCCATCAATACAAAATTAGAAACTTCTTAATTCATGAGCAGAAATAGACTCGTTATACAAATGGGTAAGAGCTCAACTCAAGCGATTTGAGTTACTGCGCCTAATTAACTCCGCCGAGTCTCGAATAGTAGAATGAGGACCCAGTTTGCGTTATTGGATAGGTTTGGACTGTAGTGACTTGAATACGTCAACCCAATTCGACCACTCATTCATTCTGAGAATAATTCCACCACGCAGTGGGCAAAAAAGAATCTGAAGTCGGTGTTTGCTTCTGTGTACTGAACTGAATTAGAAGATTTGAAGTTACAGTAGTTAAACAGTTGAAATTTTTGCCGTAAATGCAGGCAAGAGCAATCATCTGGATCGCAAGGCGAGAAATGGAGGAAAGACTGAGCACCCCTCGATCTCCTCTGTCACCATCTCTGCAATCTCCGCTCCAAAGCCCACCGGGGCTTTCGATGAAGAGATCTCTGCAGCGGTTCCTGCAGAAAAGAAAGAACAGAATGCAAGATGCATCCCCTTACAGACAATAACCAACATCGAGAGAATCTTAATTTGCAATTCTTAGTATATTTCTTCTAGCTGGGAGTGTTTAGAAGATTGGAAGGTGGAATCAGAAAAACCAAAATAAGAAACAAAAATCCTTGTAAATTTTCTAGCACTTCTGGCATATGAGATGTCGCTGATAAGCTTGTAAATTATGTAGTTCCTAGGCTTGAAAAAGAGGAATTATATTAACAATTTTCTCCTTTTTTCATTTCTGGGTTTGTCTAATTTAGTATGTCTTTAGTAGATCAATTTATTTTTCTGTAATTTTATGGCTGATAGAGCATGTCCAAAATACTTAAATATGTTTATTCAGCATTTGGATCATGGGGGAATTTTAATTCCGCTCCCAGGGTCAAATTTTAGGGAGGAAACTAGCGGATTTTAGGCTCCAATTCCAAGTATTTTATGGATTTCCATACACTTAAGGGGCTAATCATTTGAATTTCGTGTGATTGGCCTGGGGCAGAAATGAAACTTGATTGAAATTGAACTTCACTAGCCGATCTAGTGTGCCCAGACACAGAATCAGGTTATGTTTGTCTGGAGGGAATTGATTTCGAATAAAAAACCAGTACTTAAATTAATCTGCAAATTAAAGTGCAGAATCTCTAATCCACTAGTTTTAACTCCAAGCTCTACTAGTTAGGAAATGGAATCCAAACAGTGGAATACAGAAGACGGAAGGAATCATTCATGTCCAACCCATGAGTTGATCCTGGCCATTCAACAGTGGGCCAACTTTTGATTTGATTAATCTACAATCTTTACGTAAGCACATCATCAATATTCAAATGGAATAGCACCTCTTCTTCAGTTACTCTTTGATGGAAAATATACCAGAAATTCAATTTGACATGTTTTCCTAGGGTCCCTTCCTTTTATTTGCATTGTTTCCTTGAAGCTTCGTTTCTGGAAGTATATGAGTTCGCATCAGCGCCGCCCCATACAATGAATGAAACGGGGACATCTGTTCACCGTCCCGCTCGACCCTTTCATTGCATGGGACGGCTGTGAGGCGCCCGGCTTGGGGCGCTGATACGAACTCGAAGTATATTGACTTGGGAAGACCGGATCTGCTCCTCACACAGACACCTCACACCGGTTTCACACGTACATCCTACCATGCACTGAGAATATCTCCCATAAAGTTATTATTTACAGAAAATGTTCTCAATGCACAGTAAATATGCCTGTAATGCCCATGCGTGAGGAGCAGATTCCGTTCCGACTTGGGCTCCACACCCATAATAACCAACAACAAGCTGTACTATGTACTATTGAGAGAATGTAGTCGCATGAAAAAGGCAATGGAATCATGGTTCAGGCTAAGGTTAAATCTGGCTTCTCATGTCAAACAAAGCGGTGGGCTGAGTCTTGTTGGTGAAAGAAATCAATGTTCTTTAGGGCTGCTTTTTCATTTTTGGCAAGAATTCTAAACTTTTTCTGAGATTCAGTTTAACTAAAATCCACAGATTTTAATTTGGATAATGGAAAAATTAATGTTTCATCTCAGTTATGGATCTATGTTAGGTAAACTGCCTAATCAGGTTTTTTTTTTGGCAAGTATTCAATCTTCACGTGGGTTTTGTGATTGGATAAAGTTTTTAAAGGTACGTACCGCATCTTTCCGGCACAATAGAAATTGCCTATGGTAGATGAATTATATGGGTTTCAATTAAGAAACAAAAACTGAAAATTATATTCCAATATTTGTACCGGTATCTGACTATTAAAACATATATTAGCATTTTGAAGTGATATATATTGAAAAATGTTCCCTATCTAATTAGTCGTGAAGAGAGAGAGATTCCTTATACAACTTGTCATAATTCCACTGGTGAAGGGATGATGTGGCTAAATCCAGTATCCTGATGATCTGGATTGGCCACCTAACGAGTTCTCTTGTCTACATCAGTTTATACCCCACCACTTGTCATTGTTATCTATAAGTAGCATTATTAATTGAAAGTTTTATTTATTTATTTATTACTGCAAATTAAATGAAAAGGTTTAATATCTGTTGATATTAATAAACTCACTCTTCAAGGGGAGGATTATTCTAACCACGTGGCAAGGGTTTTTGGTTCAACTTTGAAGTTTGAATCACTAAAAGAGGAATAATAAGAGGAAGATTTGGGGCCATTTTGAGCCCCGCAGTAATTTTTAATGTGGAACATGACAATAGACCTACTCCTTATATAGTTATATAGAATACATGTACAAACACATGTACATTTGTATGTTTCAAAATATAAAAGAGTGGAATATTAGGGTTGTTCATAAGAATGCCTAATCCGATTAAACCGATCAATCCGGATCGATTCATCCCGAGTCGGCTGGGTTTTTATCAGCACGGGTTGGTTTCGAGTTGTGCAAATTCTTAAACCGATGATTCGGGTGAAAGAATGGTAGGATCCATCTAGTGGACGCCATAAAGGTTGCGGAATGGGTGGGCGAATTTAAAAAAAAAAATTTCCTACCTTCTCTCAACTGGGAATCATATTCCCTAAATTTAGAATACAATATTCAAGGATC